GCCTGCCCCGATGCCAGCTTCCAACGCCGCCTGCAGATATGCTTCCTCCTCTAGTCTCGCCAAGTCGTGCTCCATGGTGTGATCTCGGTCTTTCAGCTCCGCTGCCCGTCGGTCCATCGCGATCGCCTCGCCACTCTGCCCAGTAGCCGCCGTCGCCAGTGCTGCCGCCCTCTCCATGGACTCCATCTCGATGAGCAAAGCTGGATCGACGCCGCCCTCGTCCTCGCCGGCATCGCCCGGCCCCCCTTTGGCAGCCAAGAAGCCCTCGAATGCTGTAGGGCCGCCGCCGCCAGAGTCGACGTCGGGGCCACCCTCGTCTTCGCCTGGGCGAGCTGCAGACTTCTCAAACTCAGCCCACAGTTCAGCGAGCAAGGATTGGTCGAAGGCACCATCGTCTCCAGCCTCGCCATCGCTACCGTCGTCAGCGGCGTCGCCGAGGGGTCCTCCTCCGCCTGCGCCGTCGTCGCCACCTCCATCATCTCCGTCATCACGCCGCCTCACTCTCCTAGCCGCCCAGCACCTGCAAACGCCAGCCAGACTCCGCGCTCCGTGCTGGCCATCGAGTCGAGCTCGCCGTAGTGATTCCTGGTCCCAGGACACTCTGAGCACCACGAGCTTAACTGCGGGCCTGAGTCTCCCATCCCTGCCGCACCGGCAGCGCAGTTCAGCATGAATAAGATCGCACACAGCTTTGATTGGCAAGAACGACAATGGTAGATTCAATACGAAGTGCTCGCTCGAGAGAATGCCCACTGCCATCCAGAACCCACGATTGAATTTATGAGCGACCATCCAAGCGGTGTCCATGCGCTTGCCTCCAACTGTCAGGCAGACCACCCACTTGGCACTAGGCGTACGACCTGGGTAAAGGGTGAGAAGTGTCGCGGCCACTCGAGCGGCACATCTCGGCTGCGGGGCTGCTCTGGCGCGCTTCGGCGCAACAGCAGCATCGAGAAGAGGCGGCGGCTCTTCGGGGGCCCGTGGCTGCCCCCCTGCCTCCTCCTCAGGCTGGTCGGGCCCCTCGGGGATCTCATCCTCAGCTCGAGCGGGCCCATCTTGCAGCGGATGTAACTCTTCGGGGCCCTGCAGTGGTAGAAATGGGCACTCTAATGGATCTGTCGGGAACCTGGCCTTATCATCCAGAGCGATCAACGCCTCACTGTGCAGGGAAACGCACATGGAGACGGCGTGGTCCAACGACTCCGGGGACTTGCCAATCCAAGACATCGACTTTTTCAGCAGAGCTCTGCTAGATATTAACTTGAGGCCTGTGGCGGGCGCCATCGAGAACAATTTCTTAATTATTGAATTGAGGCCTTCGATCTCCTGGGTGTCGGAGGCGAGCATGCAACCGATGCAGTGAAAGAGCTCCCAAAGCTGAAGCTCCAAGAGCCCGGAGCGGGAGGTCTCCTGCTATATTATTTGTTCCCAATCATCCTGTAGTGTTGGGTCCTCGTTTTGAGGAGACAGCGCCCCGCGTCTCACCTCCTCCCGCTGCCCCCCCCCTCCCCCTCCCCCCTCCTCCCAATCCTGCTTCTGCTCGCCGCATGTCCGCCATGTCGGCACACCCCTCATGAGGATGGCGGTCCCATAGGGAGCTCCACCGAAGGCCCCAGCGGCAGGGTTTGCATGCGCCCCCCCCACCCATTTCGGCACACCCCTCACGAGGCTCCACCGAAGGCCCCAGCGGCAGGGTTGGCACGCGCACCCCCGCCCATTTCGGCACACCCCTCACCAGGATCGTGGCCCCATTGGGGTTTCCACCGAGAGCGGTGCCCACAACGCGGCACTCACAGCTGCATATTGTTGGGTCCTTCGCCAGGGTAATATGTTAAGCGGCCCCCCGGGATGGAAGGACGGAGCGGGGCAGGGTAGACGAGCGACGCAATGGGGCCAGCGTTTGAGGGACAGGAGGGGCAAGGAGGATAAAGAACAGGAGGAGCAGGAGGGGAAAGGGCGAGGAGGATGAGCAAGGAGGGGCGGATGATAACAACACAAACAGGAACATGCAGAACATGCAGGATCCTCCAGCTCTGTTTGGCAGCAATATGCAATCTTCCAAGGTGTAGCCAAAGAAACATCATCACAATATGAATTCCCACTAGGATCATCATAGAGAAGCTGCAGCCACGTGGAAGCCACCTGCCGACGCTTCTCCGACCTGACGTTGTAGTCGTCGTGGGACATCCACAGTATCGTGTAAGGAAACTCAGCCAACTGGCGCACGAAGCGTCGGTTGAAGTCGGCCGCCAGATCAAGCACATGTTCCACGCAAGTAAGTCGAATAGAACTCATATCCACGTCGCCTGGAACATGAAACCAAACGGACTCCCACTTCTCGGCGTACGGACTCCCCTCCTCGAGCAGTGCATCCCACTCCCCTGCGATCTCAGCCGATACGGATACCACGAGCTCCGATAGAGTGGACACGCAGCTGGCCTCGAACACGTCCTGGCGCCGATCGGCCATCCCCTTCGACTTCTTTTCAAACCAGTGGAGCAAATGGGTCAGAGGACCTCCAGAAACGTGAAATATTGCAGTTGTCACCCAATGCTCTGCGCTGTGGGCGGCTGCCAGCGCATCTGCCTGCCACCTCCCCATCCTCTGCCTGTAGCCTTCGGCCTCAGGGTCCAGTGCAAGGTCGTCGGGGTTGCCAGCGGGATCTCCTGCTGCCTCAGGGTCAAATACCTTTTGAAATACTGCTGAGACCTCGCGCTGGGTGGCGAAAAGGAAAAAGGCTGCTGTCTTATAACATGCTCCGAAGCGGCCGATGAGGGGCCTCGGTGGCAATCGACCAGCAGCCGCCTTGGCTCTGTCACTGCTGGTGAGACTTTCCCATACTTTGTAGATTCGTGCTGACATGTGGGGGGCCCTCCAGCAATTGGCCATCTTGGCCAGATTAGAATAATAAGACGAGTGCTTCGACAATTGTTTCTTCGCCATTAAGTGCATTTGATGGATGAGGCAGAACGTCCAACATATCCAAACGAAAGGCGAGTGCTTCATCTCCTGAACCATGCGAGTGCGGCAGCCCTTGACGTCGGGGCCAGCATCCGTTCCCCCCAAGAATACAGCGATATGTTTCCAATGGCATTCCTCCTCGTCCTCCCCCGGGCGGCGTTGCTGAGCGATGGAGCGCAACATCGCCTCGCTCTCCGTCAAGTTGTCCGTGGCCTCCTGGGCGCAGTAACGGGGGGGCTGGCAAACCATCCAACGCGAGAATCTGACAAACAGTGATGCTTGATTTCTGAATCAAGTCAGCCAGCGCGCCAAGCCGAATCCAGCCGTGGCATACGAGGATAGAAGCCTGGACCGAGTCTGAGCTTTGAACGCATAACATGCAAAGTCCTGCACGCGCGCACGTTCGCGATCTGCCATCGTGTAAAGGCCCTGTTGAGAAAGCTTGCTCTCCCACAGATGCTTCTGGTTCAGCCCAGTGTTTGTCAGGGGGACCCAAGCCAAATCAGGCCAAAGCAAAGCGGATGAATGCTGAGGGCTAATGTTTGTCACCACCGTGGCCGCGTCGTCCAAAGTAATGCGGGGCGTGCAGAATGCGGACCACAGTTCAGATCCAAATATCTTATGAGATCGCCACTCGGTGGAATTTGCAGCATCTCCTCTCACGGCGTGCACTTCCCACGACAACACCGGGGTGCCGAACTCTCTGGCATAGCGGGCACACGGCCCAGGATGACTGCACATGATGTCCAAATACTCAGCCAACTTAGCAAACTCAGTTCTGAAATAATTCACGCCTTGGCAAAATATGGCAGCCCTGGTGAGGTTCTCAGCCTTGGCCGCCGTTCTGTCGGACACAGGCGCTTCCTGTCCACTGCCCGCGCTCCACTCTGCGAACGCACGAAAGAAACAGAGACGCACGAAGCAGGAGGGAGGGACGCAGCGGCAGCAGGAGGTAGGAGGCAAGGGAGGTAGGAGGCAAGGGAGGTAGGAGGCAAGGGAGGTAGGAGGCAGCAGGGATGGTTGGAGATAGAAGGCAAGGGAAAGTCTCGAATGGTTGATCATTGGGCGATCGGGCAAGACGGGGATGGCACTCAGGGGGGAGGAGCAAAATGAAAAGCATGGGGTCAGGGGCGTAAGGGTCCAGTGGCATGCTGAGCTAGGAGACCCCACCCACCCCCGTGTCCAGCATCTGAAGAGTAGTCTGACATCCAGCGTACCCGTAGTTCCTCTTGAACCCCAGTCTGTACCACCCCTCCTTCTCCATAGTGTATCGCACAGGTTCCACAGGCACACCGTCTGCATCCGTTTTTTGCTTCCGAGGCGCTTTCACAAAGGTGAAGCCGCGCATTCTGGATTTCATTTGCTCCAGCTCAGTCTCAAGCTTGACTATTCGTTTCTTGTCTTTCGTGGCCTCTCTTGTCATCAATTGTATCTGTGCTAACCGTTCGGCTGATTTGTTCTGTACTCTCTGACTCTGCAAAGTGATATCCAACGCAGCCCGAACGAGATCTGGATGAGACATGTTCCGAAACGCAGACTCAAGAGCTCTCCGAGATTCTGAACCACGAAGCACCAGCTGTCCATCATCCCCTCTTGCCGAAGCGCGGGTGCGCAAGACTATAGCGTCGGCGCCTTCTTGAGGCGCATCCTCTGCGGCTCCGCTATGACGTTGTTGTTCTCCCCTCCCCCATTTTGAGATATGCGATGCTATGTTATCTCACCCGCGTGCCCCTCTCAACGATCTCATGATCGATCTCACTCAACAGGACACCACAGGACACCACGGGTCACCACGGAACATCAGAGAGGGGAAAGCGACGAGCGAGGGCAAGAGTTGACAGGGCTGGCGCAGGGGCCGGCGCGGGTGGGGGAGGGAAGTGCAGAGGTCATGAAATCCAGGGCGAAGTAAATGAAGGAGTACCTCTCCCTGCCCCATCTGTCCCTGCCCCTCCTCGAAGTAAAGCACTGTGGACTTGGTGATCCACCAACTGGCCCATAGCTCTGGCAGTCGGTCCCATATGCATACCTGCCTGCGCCAGGACGTCCACCAGGTCGAGCACTGAGTACGGCGGGCCCGACGTTGGTGGAGTCCATCCGCCTGCCACCGGCGCGGGGAGCGACGGCATAGATCGGAGGTTCAAAGATGGGGCCCGAAAGATAAGATGAAAGATAAGACGGGACCCGAATCATAGTTTGCATTGCTCGAGGCCCCTCACCCGTGGGGCCCAATCCTTCACGTCCCCATCTTTGAACCTGCAGGGGCGTTTCACTCAGACAAGCAACATAAGCATACATGTTCGGAGGTCTGCGCGGCGGAGTTATTGGAGCTGTGCTGGCCCTCCCTCCCTGGCGCGCGAAGCGCGCCAGTGGAGGCGCTGGAGGCGCCGCCGAGGGGGTCCAGCGTCGACCCAACAAACCCGAGCGGACCTCCGAACGTCTATGTTTATGTTGCTTGATTCATCTAGAGCACGATGCTGCACTGTTCGCCTATCATCTTGCTGCATCCTGCCCTCCCCCCGAGCTGGCCTGGGCACACGGCCCCAGCCGACTGGACGGCGTTGCGGAGCGCCGCGGCCGTCTGGAAAAGCATGTAGCACCCATTGCTTGGGACCGTATGGTGGTGAGCGAAACGGCCTAAAGCCCTGGCCAGCACACCGTCCATGCACTCCCGCTGGGGGGCTGTAAGCCCCCTCAGGAAGCCAAAATGGCTGAAGCATCGACGCGAAGGACCCAACTACATTCCAACAGTTCCCCGACCTTGAGGCGTTCGGATTCGCAGGGATCTCCCCGGGCCCCCTACTCGCACGGGATTTTTCTGACATCATACGCTAGACCCATAAAAAAAACACCCTTTATGGGATCACAGGCGTGCGACATCACATCCAGGACCTCGAGTCACCCCTACTAGCTCACGGGATTACGCCGACGAGTCACAGCTACTATAGATGTTTTTCTTTTTTTTTTCTGGGGGACATATGAAGTACACCACAAAAAGTGTCCATGATACTCCTGTACATATGTAGCACGCGCGCTATGACTATTGATCATGTCACACACGCGCACATTTTTTCCTACTACCCAGGGGCATGTGGGGGTGCAGCGCCCTTCGCCCCCCCACCGAAACCCTCCCGTGGGGAGCAAAACCTCTGTCCCCCCACCGCCCTCACTTTTCAGCCCGAAGGCTCCTTATTCGATTCCCAGCGGCCAGCTACACGAAGGACGCGTTGCGAGTATTCCCAGTGGCATCCGATCAGCGAGGCAGCCGACCCCGTCCCTTTGCCGAGGCCTTCGAGTTCCTCGACGACTCGCCGCCTCAGGGCGGGCTCGGGCTGGAAAGGAACCGCTCAATCGGGTGGGCGCGGCGGCGTTGATGAGATGGTGGCGCCATTCCGCTGTCTCGTCACCACGTGTGGGCTCGCACCTCTCACATCCCCTCAGGGGACATGTCCATTCACGAGCACCACGTCCTGAGCGTTTTGCTGGATGTAATGGTGGTCGTCCGCCAGGTCAATGCTTGCAGCCTCAAGTCGGGCGAGCTCGTCGCGAGGAGGCTCCGCATTATCGAGGAAGTTCGTCGGGCGGACCGATCTTCCCCAGATTACGGGGGAGCCGACCACTACAGGGTGGCCACGCCGAGCAGGTGGAGTCACCGTCGCGTCAGGCCTTCGACTCTACGTCACAGACCCGGTGAAGGGCGAGGCCAAGGTGGCCGAGGAACAGAGCAAAACACGCGAGGAACTCCGCCTGCGCCGCTCCGGCCCCCAGGGCCGAAGCAAGGGAAGGGAGAGGGCGCGGACGGCGCCGCCCACAGCTGATGAAGGATGGCCCCGCGGAGGGTCGGGGCGGACAAAAGGGGAGGATTGGGAAAGGGGGGGTTACAGAATTTGCTGCATGCAGCTGGTTTCGGCCCCACGGAGGGGCCCATACTTCGATGCACAGCCGCCTCCGGCGCCGGGAGGCGCTGGGAAAATCAGCTACGTGAGCTGATTCTCAAACCCCTCCTTTGCTATCCCCCCCTTTCGCCCGACCCGAGAGGGGCGTCGCCGACCCCGCCCGTGTCTCCTAGGCCACAGCGGTTGTCGCGATCCGTGCGGCTACACACGCGGGCGGCGCCGAGGTTCTGATGGGCGGCAGCGCGAACTTTCTCTTGTGCCGGTGGTCGAAGAGAGCTCCCCGCCGTGGCCGCGAGCTCCCGGGGCCAGCGGCGCGCGCTGGCCATGGTCCGTTGGGAGGACCGCGCCGTCAACCAATGGGAAAATAATAGAATAGCACAATTTGGTCAAATTTCAGAGATGAATCCAATGATTCTTGTAAGTTATGATTATGAAGTGAATCAGACCAAACCACCAGATGCTGAACGAGCTCCACCATGCACCCGAGGGCCCCGTTAGCACTGCGCGCGCCGCCCACCACAGAGGACAGCGACAGATCTCTGCGCGCCCGAGCGCCCCGTCAGCGATGCATTCACTCCTGGAGCAGCCGCGGGAGCTGCTATTTCGCTCTCTCTCTCTCTCTCTCTCTCTTTCTTTCTTTCTCTCTCTCTCTCTCTCTCTCTCTCTCTCTCTCTCTCTTTCTTTCTCTCTGATGAGGGCGTCGCGTGCCCTGGACCGACTTTTGACAGGACTCGTCGACGTCCTCTGGCGAGGCTCTTCGCCACCAGCCCGCGCCGACGTGATCGACCCTGTCGGGCGGGAGATGTTGATGGCTTGGCTGAACACCGCGATGCCGGATCAGGACTGGTGGGGGCGCGTTTGCGAGAGGTCGGCGCCAGTGGGCGCCCTTCATGGTCCTGGGGCCGCGCAGAGGCCCCCAGCTCTACCAGGCTCTCGCGGGGGACCTGCGCGCCGCGGTGCTCCTCGGCTTCGCCGCGAAGCCGAGGGGCAGCGCGCCCCCCTTGTTCGCGGGCCAGAATTCTGGGAGGTCGAGAAATATCCTCGACGCGAAGGTGCCCAGTCGGCGTTTTTGTCAGCCCCCCCCCCCTGGCTACGGGCGCCGGGGCCTTGTGGGGCAGGCTGGCGCTGCAAGGCCTATAGGCGCGCGCGTCCTGGGGCGCGCCCGGCTCGAGGGATGAGCTCTTCGTCGGCAGCCTCGACACCGAGAATTGTTTCTGCCCCCGCGGGGACCTGCCCGAGCTGATGCCCTACTTCTGACTACCTGCGGTTCCAGCCGAGTTCGCCGAGAGTTTCGGGGGGCCGCTGGTCGGGCCGCTCCAGCCCTGAGGGGGCTCGCTCTGGCCAGTGCGGTGCCGATGGGGTGGGGCTGGGCCCTCTATTTGGCCCTGCGCGTCACCTCGTGAGGAGCGCGTGTCGACCTCGACGTCGGAGCATCAGCGTTGCTCGCCGACCGCGGCCCGATCCCCGACGCCATAGAGGGCCCGCCCGCCGTGCTCGCGCAATGTGACAACTCGGGCGCCGCCTCGACCACGGGCCTCCAGATCCACTAGGCCACCGTCGCCTCGACCTCCGTCGTCGTGATGGGCAGGGAGATCGACGGCAGCACTGGGCCTATACAGTTGGCTCCCAAGAAGCGGGTGCGTCTGGAGGCTGTGATCAGATGGTTCGAGAGGCGCCCCCAAGCTGTCGTCGCGTCAGGCGGAGGTCACCATCGGACGCTGCATCAACGCGGCCATGTCCGACCCCTGCCTTCTGTCGGTGTTCTGCATGTGCTGCGACATTGCAGCTGCCGCCGTCGGCGAGCCTGCAAAGCTGGGGGCCCCGGCCGCCTGGGGCCCCGGGTCCTCCGGCGGCTGCTGTTCACCTGCGCCTCGGACGCGGGGGGGCCATGCTGCTCCGCCGCGGGGGCGCGCGCGCCGAGCTTGGCCGGGGCCGGCGTGGCCGCCGCCGTGACTGCCCGACGGGGCTGCGACGGCCGCTGGGCGGGTCGGCGAGCGATCCTGTTTCAAGGGTCGTGACGGCGCTCTGCCTCCTCGAGTCTCAGCTCTCGGTCCTCATGGCGGCGCGTTCTCGGAAACAAAGGCCGCCCTGCCGTTCGGCTCTCAGAGTGGCGCGGGCGAGGTTTCTTGGTCTGCCCATCCTTCCTGCGAGGGCGCCGGAGAAGCGCTTGGCGACGTGCGCGGCCCTGCCCTGGTTGGGGGCGGGGCGCGCTGTTGTTTTGTTCGGAGGCTCGGAAAACGACTTCTCGGCGTCGGGTATCGCCTCCCATGCGCGTTGTCATCCGCCGAGGGCAGGCGCGCGGGCTCTGTTGATTTGACCTCCTGCAGGAGGATGGTCGGCATGTCCGCGGCCTCGGGCCCAGCCCTCATTCGCCTCTGGGCGCCTTCGGGAGGGGGCGGGGCCGGCGACGGGTCGCGACTCTGGGGGCCGACAGCTGCTGCCGGCCACGCGCCCAGCTGCCCGCCTGGCCTCCGCCGCGCGACCGCCGCGCAGCGGACCCGCGGGGGCCTTTTATAGAGGCGGCGCTCGGGCGGGGCGCAGGGCGAACCAGTCGGCTCGAGCTTCGCCGAGGCAGGGCGACTCTTCCGCCATGGCGCTCCTGGAGGCGAGCTCGATCAGCATGGCCCCCATGGGGCGGCTGCGACGGGAGGTTGGCCGAGTTTCAGCGACGACCAGGTCCGTCCATCTGTCCTCGCCAGCGCAGATCGACGCGGCCCTGGCCACTCGCGCCGACGCGTTCTGGAGGGGTGGCGCCCTGGCCGCCGCGGTCGCGAAGGTCCATGCCGCGCGGGTCTTCCACTGGCCAAGTTTCGGCCCGCGGGGGCGGCGCCCCCCGTCGAGGATGCTGCGCGCGCGGCGGGGCGTGCGGCTGCTGGGCCCGCCTCGGTCGCGGCCTCCGACCCCGTGGCCGCGCCTGTGGCTGATCGCGCTACGGCTGGCGAAGCTCGGGTCTTCCCGGAGGCGCTGGCCTGCCCGGCGATGTTCGCGGGCTACCTCCGTCTGGGCGAGGCGCTGGCCATTGCGGTGGCCTCAGTCGCCCCCCCGGCGGGCTCGAGCCAGTTCGTCGCCCTCGATGTGTTCCCAGAGGAGACGGTTCAAGACGGGCTTGCGCGGCAACTCGCTCCTCCAGGGCTCGAGCTGCGCCCCGCGGCTCAACGACCGCCTGTGCGCGCTGCGAACCCGCGCCCAGACGGGGGCCACGACGTTCCTCGCTGCTGGACCGCCCGGAACCATTGGATCCAGGTGGTCGGCGCGGCAGGTTTCGACGAGTTCAGCTGCGCGATGCGACCGCTCCGCCGCGGCGGCGCAAGCTGGGGCAACCTCGAACGCCCCCCCCCCCCAGGAAGGAGGTCGAGGCTCGCGGGGGATGGATGCCCCCTTCGCCCGGCCGCGTCGCGGTCCAGCCCGTCTGCGGCTGCCTCTGGGTCGGCCACGCCGCGCGGGCCCTCGGGCGCGCGGCCCTCGGCTCCGCGGTACAACCGAGGCCTGGCCTGGTTGGGGCCTTGCGGCCTGGCCTGGGCAGCTGCGCTTGGAGTCGCGCCCGTCAGGCAGATCTTGGCCTCCCGCACTTTTCCTGTCGATCGTCGGCGGTCCTCGCGCGTTGCAATGTGTTCGTTGTCTCTCTATGGCTAATGGAGTTGGCCGCCAGGAGCAGGCGTCGACGTTGCGCCTGGGGGCCCGCGCTCCAGTCGCCTTTGGCGGCCTGGACCTTTCTTCTGCGAGCTTGCTCAGGACTGGTCTCGCTCGCCTCGTCGTCTAGCTACGTGCCATTGCGGAACCTTTGTCAGAAATGTGGCAGGTGTTCTCGCTGTTTTCGCCAGTGCGCTCGGTGCGCGCACGTGCGAAGGATGCGTCTGGAGCGACCCTCTGCCCT